TATGTAACTTACCCTTTGTAATTGTGTCTACACTACAAGTGGGGAAACGTACCTATGCAACTTACCCTTTGTAATTGTGTCTACACTATAAGTGGGGAAACGTACCTATGTAACTTACCCTTTGTAATTGTGTCTACACTATAATTGGGGAAACGTACCTATGTAACTTACCCTTTGTAATTGTGTCTACACTACAAGTGGGGAAACGTACCTATGTAACTTACCCTTTGTAATTGTGTCTACACTACAAGTGGGGAAACGTACCTATGTAACTTACCCTTTGTAATTGTGTCTACACTACAAGTGGGGAAACGTACCTATGTAACTTACCCTTTGTAATTGTGTCTACACTACAAGTGGGGAAACGTACCTATGTAACTTACCCTTTGTAATTGTGTCTACACTATAAGTGGGGAAACGTACCTATGCAACTTACCCTTTGTAATTGTGTCTACACTACAAGTGGGGAAACGTACCTATGTAACTTACCCTTTGTAATTGTGTCTACACTACAAGTGGGGAAACGTACCTATGTAACTTACCCTTTGTAATTGTGTCTACACTATAAGTGGGGAAACGTACCTATGTGCCGCTTTATTTGCCCGCTTTTATTTGTTTCTCGTTACATAGCCGTTAGGGTGTTAAACGTTAGTACTTTAGTACTATTTAGTACTATTTAGCTAGGTATATCTCGCCACAAATTCAATCCCAACAACATATTTTATCAATTACCTCATTGTCAATTAATAATATCAGGGCCAGGAGTAGACACTAGACCTGTAACCTGATTATTACATTCCTCAGTTGCAGACTAATAACTTGTCAATCTAAATTCCTCCGCTCTAATACCAACGTTTCAAGCGTGTTCTGTTTCCCATGTGTTCTCATGTGTTTTGTCGAATCCATTATAGCTAGTTAAATCCTCACACTTTTTAACCTGACCCCCTTTACTATTATTATCTACTAATAACTACTTTATCTACTAATTGCTAAAGTGCACACTGCACAGTGCACATGAGTTCCCTAATACAGGCCGTTATACGATTACACACGACCCCTCATGACTAATGGAGTAATGGCTGTGAAGGTTTTCTCACAGTGCACATCTCTCCAGTTGTGAGGCTACTTCCTACTGCAGCCTGTACAATACCCTCTCTCGTATAGCTCTAGTAGGTATACCCTCTCTCGTATAGCTTTAGTAGGTATACCCTCTCTCGTATAGCTTTAGTAGGTATACCCTCTCTCGTATAGCTCTAGTAGGTATACCCTCTCTCGTATAGCTCTAGTGGGTATACCCTCTCTCGTATAGCTCTAGTAGGTATACCCTCTCTCGTATAGATTTAGTAGGTATACCCTCTCTCGTATAGCTCTAGTAGGTATACCCTCTCTCGTATAGCTCTAGTAGGTATACCCTCTCTAGTAGGTATACCCTCTCTCGTATAGCTCTAGTAGGTATACCCTCTCTAGTAGGTATACCCTCTCTAGTAGGTATACCCTCTCTAGTAGGTATACCCTCTCTCGTATAGCTCTAGTAGGTATACTCTCTCTAGTGGGTATACCCTCTCTAGTAGGTATACCCTCTCTAGTAGGTATACCCTCTCTAGTAGGTATACCCTCTCTCGTATAGCTCTAGTAGGTATACTCTCTCTAGTGGGTATACCCTCTCTAGTAGGTATACCCTCTCTAGTAGGAATACCCTCTCTAGTAGGTATACCCTCTCTCGTATAGCTCTAGTAGGTATACCCTCTCTAGTAGGTATACCCTCTCTAGTAGGTATACCCTCTCTAGTAGGTATACCCTCTCTAGTAGGTATACCCTCTCTCGTATAGCTCTAGTAGGTATACTCTCTCTAGTGGGTATACCCTCTCTAGTGGGTATACCCTCTCTAGTGGGTATACCCTCTCTAGTAGGTATACCCTCTCTCGTATAGCTCTAGTAGGTATACCCTCTCTAGTAGGTATACCCTCTCTCGTATAGCTCTAGTAGGTATACCCTCTCTAGTAGGTATACCCTCTCTCGTATAGCTCTAGTAGGTATACCCTCTCTAGTAGGTATACCCTCTCTCGTATAGCTCTAGTAGGTATACCCTCTCTAGTAGGTATACCCTCTCTCGTATAGCTCTAGTAGGTATACCCTCTCTAGTAGGTATACCCTCTCTAGTGGGTATACCCTCTCTAGTGGGTATACCCTCTCTAGTGGGTATACCCTCTCTAGTAGGTATACCCTCTCTAGTGGGTATACCCACTCTAGTAGGTATACCCTCTCTAGTAGGTATACCCTCTCTAGTGGGTATACCCTCTCTAGTGGGTATACCCACTCGTGGTCCTCTATGAAGTTTACTATACTACCCCTCCCCTGCTGCTACTAGTACTACCCCTCCACTTAAGTGTAATGTCAGCCCCAACCTGGAATATCATTATCTTATTATCATTCCCGGAGCTATGAGTGTGAATTCTGTGTACACTCAACACTGTGTTTACACTGTGTTTACTCTGTTCGCTCCATGGTCTCTGTAGAACAATTACCATAGTAGTCTAATATCATTGTAGTGTTTATCATTGTTTTATTATTATTATTGTAGCTTGTTTAGGTACCATAGTAGTCTAATATCATTGTAGTGTTTATCATTGTTTGATTATTATTATTGTAGCTTGAATAGGTACTATAGTAGTCTACTATCATTGTAGTGATTATCATTGTTTGATTATTATTGTAGCTTGTAGCTTGTATAGGTACTATCCGAGACTCCATAGTTGTTATTCAGTTGTTGTACTAGTATAATAATTAGAGACCTCATTCTCTCCTGTTTCAAGTTATTTACTTTCTTTCTGTAGTCGAAAACGCTTTGGAGTTAGAAGTTTTATTGTCAACAGTTAATAGAACTATTTATTATTGTTCTGTAAGCTGTTTACTTTGAACTTTGAGGTACCGCGTTAATAGTTAGTATTTGTTATTAAGTTAAGTTATGTGTGGTTTGCAACTTTGCAATGCCAGCAGCTGTGCTAAACAGTGTAAATATGTATGATAATTAATTTTTCTTCAGCACTCCGATAGATTATGCGCATATTTGCAGTAATGCTCATTGCTCATATTATACATTAATCTGGTTAATCTACATGGTGATTGAACAGAAGTCAGAATCATATATCATCACGTCTCCTCTCTCGTTCAGTTTTTGTGTTTTATTCTCCTTGGTATTCGTATAGGTCACCGAATACCTATTTTATTAGTCTTGTTTATTAAACTCTCAGTTTTAACCACTACAGAGATGAAGGTGTACCTGAACTATTTTATTAGTCTTGTTTATTAAACTCTCAGTTTTAACCACTACAGAGATGAAGGTGTACCTGAACTATTTTATTAGTCTTGTTTATTAAACTCTCAGTTTGAACCACTACAGAGATGAAGGTGTACCTATTTTATTAGTCTTGTTTATTAAACTCTCAGTTGTAACCACTACAGAGATGAAGGTGTACCTGAACTATTTTATTAGTCTTGTTTATTCTTTTATTAAACTCTCAGTTGTAACCACTACAGAGATGAAGGTATACCTGAACTATTTTATTAGTCTTGTTTATTAAACTCTCAGTTGTAACCACTACAGAGATGAAGGTGTACCTGAACTATTTTATTAGTCTTGTTTATTAAACTCTCAGTTGTAACCACTACAGAGATGAAGGTGTACCTGAACTATTTTATTAGTCTTGTTTATTAAACTCTCAGTTTTAACCACTACAGAGATGAAGGTGTACCTGAACTATTTTATTAGTCTTGTTTATTAAACTCTCAGTTGTAACCACTACAGAGATGAAGGTGTACCTGAACTATTTTATTAGTCTTGTTTATTAAACTCTCAGTTGTAACCACTACAGAGATGAAGGTGTACCTATTTTATTAGTCTTGTTTATTAAACTCTCAGTTGTAACCACTACAGAGATGAAGGTGTACCTGAACTATTTTATTAGTCTTGTTTATTAAACTCTCAGTTTTAACCACTACAGAGATGAAGGTGTACCTATTTTATTAGTCTTGTTTATTAAACTCTCAGTTGTAACCACTACAGAGATGAAGGTGTACCTGAACTATTTTATTAGTCTTGTTTATTAAACTCTCAGTTTTAACCACTACAGAGATGAAGGTGTACCTGAACTATTTTATTAGTCTTGTTTATTAAAGTCTCAGTTTTAACCACTACAGAGATGAAGGTGTACCTGAACTGCTGCTCCAAAGCTGCTTTATCTCCGGGCTCCCGCCGTCGTAGGGAGCCCACATTCCAAAAGGTTTGGGTTATAAGGTTGCTTTTTATTTAATAATTGTAATAGGATTTAAAGTTCTTGTGGTAAATAAGAAGTATTGGTCCTGCAGGCAACATGGCTGCCCTTGCCTGGTTGCCCTTGCAACATGGCTGCCCTTGCCTGGTTGCCCTGGCAACATGGCTGCCCTTGCCTGGTTGCCCAGGCAACATGGCTGCCCTTGCCTGGTTGCCCAGGCAACATGGCTGCCCTTGCCTGGTTGCCCAGGCAACATGGCTGCCCTTGCCTGGTTGCCCTTGCAACATGGCTGCCCTTGCCTGGTTGCCCAGGCAACATGGCTGCCCTTGCCTGGTTGCCCAGGCAACATGGCTGCCCTTGCCTGGTTGCCCTTGCAACATGGCTGCCCTTGCCTGGTTGCCCAGGCAACATGGCTGCCCTTGCCTGGTTGCCCTTGCAACATGGCTGCCCTTGCCTGGTTGCCCTGGCAACATGGCTGCCCTTGCCTGGCTGCCCTGGCAACATGGCTGCCCTTGCCTGGTTGCCCTTGCAACATGGCTGCCCTTGCCTGGTTGCCCTGGCAACAGCAACAAACCCGTGCCTGGTTTTGGATTTTAGCCGTTTGTGTGCTGATGTCGCAATTTAATTCTTAATCAAAAGCACGCAGTGGAAATATAATTATAAGCAAAAACCAATACAATAAACTCGCAAGCAGACTACTCTGAAAGTTCGCCGCGGGTTAGTCAACACTACTATATAACAAATAATTTGAGCATGAATAAGAAGTTGTTACTTTGAAACGTCGTTTATCCTAACAGTGCAGTATCATTTGTCGCAAGAAATCAGAATATTCAGAAACTATTTGGAACTCCCAAAAACTGTCTACTACTCTAAAAGTTCGCCGCGGGTTAGGGTTAGGGTTATGGTTTATGTAAGGTTAAGGCTGCAGTGTGGTTCTAATGTTGATCAAACGTTAAATCAATCAAACGTTAACTCAGATGTTGACTCGAATGTTAACTCGAATATTGACTCAAACGTTAACTAAGATGTTAACTCAAATTCTAACTCTAATGTTAACTCGAATGTTAACTCAAAATGTTGACCCAAACTCTAAATCGAATTCTACCTCTACCATATAAACTAAAACTGAAATGCCAACTCAGCACCTAATTTCAGCTGCTGAACGATAATGAGACACACAGTTCAATAAATGTGGAGAAAGATGGCGATGACAAAGATAACAACCAACAAGAGAACCTACTACTCCCTGATGAGGTTCTGTTAAAATGATAAAATGTAACTTAAAATTCTGCTTATCTACTTATCTGAACCATATCTACTGATTGATTTGTACTGGCAGAATATCGTCTGTTGGATGCAACATAGTTACCATGGTTCTTGACACAGATTTGCAGGTACCGTTAACTGACGAGGATGAAGAGAGAGCTCAAAAAACTGTCAACCTTCTTAATCAGAGAGCTGGTTTTATGGTTTGTACTGCCTAATTATTTTCGTAAATTTCGGGAATAGAATTCGGGGGGTTAGGTAAATTTAGAATTTCTTTGTTTTTTGACGATTTTGTTCTACTTTATTTTTTATGATTAGCCAAATGACTCGAATACAATAAATCAGCTGTATACTCGTTTAACTTTAACTGTGAATAATGAAAAATATAATTATCTGAGGCCGGTCAATTCATTTCGGTGCTCAATATTACACTCTCATACACCAGAAAAATCTAACGGACTTAGGGCGGTCATTAAATGGACGGATATTATATTAATCATGAGCGGACATAATAAAGGAGCGGACATAATAATGGACGCTATGTTACATCCAAACAAACTGTCCAAAAAGATGATTTTGAACCAAACCAACGAAGTTTAACGTAGGTCGGCTAATGCTATATTAGTATATTGACAAACATAATACCGAGGAACTTGGCTAAACAAGGAAGTAGGTGATGGAAAACTGGCATTTTTCCCACCTCCAAATTAGTTTAACTGGCATTTTTTCCACTTCGGGTCAGACCCCAACAAAGAAAAATTCACGGCACTCTAAGTCTACGAAGACTGTTTACAAATAACAATTTCGAGCAATTTCGGTAATTACAAAATTAAATTGTAAGTAATATGATCAATTGTAGGATCATCACATACAAAATCTAATGTAACGTATCTAGCTAAAGCTTTTCGTACATACCATAACCTTATCTGACGTTTTATACCTCGTTTAGTTGCCGTAAACATCCGTATTTTCACGTATTATTTTAAAAACAACCGTTTTTGGCATATCATTATGTTGTTGAAATACTGGAACCTAGTTACTATTATGGTTAGACTCTTTAAAGTTAGAAACACTATTTGATTATTGAACAGACTTTAGTATTATTAAAACTAATTAATTATTGAACAGTTAAACTTGCCACCATGTTACAACTGCCATTATACTAAAACAAAGTGCTTATCACCATATTGTCTGACTTATAATAGTTAACCAATACTTGTAACTTGCAGGTTCCTCCTGTTGCTGACTAATAGTTAACCAATACTTGTAACTTGCAGGTTCCTCCTGTTGCTGACTAATAGTTAACCAATACTTGTAACTTGCAGGTTCCTCCTGTTGCTGACTAATAGTTAACCAATACTTGTAACTTGCAGGTTCCTCCTGTTGCTGATGTTCCTGAGACTCAACCCACGACTATAATACAGAAGACCCCTCAGCTTTCTGACAAGCCATTTAGGAAAAGCATCCGATTTAAACTGGTAGGTTCTATTGCATATCCTAGTCATCCAGTACTTAGTTAGGAATAAGTAAGGAACTTAGTTATACAGTTAGTTAGGAAGGAGAAGCGATGTTAGAAACATTTCCTCCGGGCAAGTGACACTGTTTCCTTTTAATAAAAAATAAAATAATCAGTCGTTTCCTAAGTCGAACTCAAGATATTGTTCATCTCTGTTTAATATACAGTAGAACTTGTTGATTGTGAATACTGAACATTGTCTCTCTGTCCAGGCACCCAAAGAAGAGGACACAGAGAAAACAGGAGACAACAAACCGCTCGTTCGTAAGGTAAGTGACAGGGGTCTAGAAAGGGGGGGGCAACCCTGGTTATAAGTGACATTACAAGCGAAATCCGTTCTTCTGGGTTATAGCAGATAGGGCGATGACGAAATTGATCCCCAGTAATATTTAAAGGTTCAACAACTCTCACCCTAATAAATTTCACCCTAATTTCACCCTAATTTCACTCCACTTCTCACAATCACTCTCTTTTATCCTGATACCTTGGAATGTTGTCATCAGTGGAGCTGGAAACAATACTCTGAGCCCGCCTAGGGTCATGGTAAGCGCGCCTGAGAAACAACATTATCATTACAACTCCACTTTTGACCTATTTGGCGGCCACTTATTAATTTCATAATTGCACTGGTTTTTTGTAGGTTTTTTTCAGGGAGTGCGATTACAAAACTAATTGCACTGTTTTGAGAGTGACCGAAAACTTATTAGGTACGATTACTAAACTAATTGCACTGATTCTCTGAAAGATGCTGTAAAGCGCGCGTGAGAAACAACATTATCATTACAATAGCTTGGAGGAATGACAACACCACCATTCTAATATTATGCTGCATCTTTATTCTTTATGAGTGAAGGATATTCTTCATTAAGACCAATTATTAGATTATATCAAAGTTTGATAGATACCATGAAAACTAGTCTTGTGACTGACTAAACTTGTGACGGAACAATAATGATTGTCAGTTACGTCAGCAAGATATTCATTGTTCAATGACACGTGATATCTTGTGGGACACACGTGCTATCTTGAAATACACGAACAAACCATGATTGGTAACCGTGATTGGTAACCATGATTGGTAACCGTGCTGAATAACAAAGGTAACCAGGTAACCAGGTAACCAGGTAACCAGGTAACCAGGTAACCAGGTAACCAGGTAACCAGGTAACCAGGTAACCAGGTAACCAGGTAACCAGATAACCAGATAACCAGGTAACCGTGCTGAATAACAAAGACAACTCATTTCTGACTACCGTAGAATTGAGTCAGTCAATAAATTACAGTCAACGTCTTTCACCATACCAAATACCGACGTATTCAATGATTTTGTATGGACCTAATCTTTGTGTCCGGTAAATAATCGACCTTCTATAGTTTCTGCACCAAAGTCGATTTATAAATTGTTTATTTGATTAGCTACTTGGTTTGACTCGACTGGTAGCTTTGTTAACCTGTGGAGCAACCTTGCCTTGTCACTATTTCTGTATACTTTACGGCATACGCTATATTATATATTATATCTACACCAACCACAAAATTCAATTACCTTGGTGGAATGTCGTCGCCCTGCGCAGTTTAGCATTTAATCCATTATTTTTGATTTGACGGTTATGTCTTAAATTGCTGGTGCTTTATTGAAATGTTATTGTCATTAGATTTCAAGCTTTCATTCCAGCTCTGTATTCTTCGTATTTATTTTATTAGTAAGATTAATAATAATTTGGTTGTGTAAATACTAGTAGGGTTCCGGTTTTCATTATTTAGCCCTCGTTTTTTTAAATCACCATCATTGGTTTTGGTGCTTTGTCCGGGGTATTAAACAGTAAAACAGCATCTACCTCGCCTATAATCGCAACACCCCACTCTCTGTGCAAACAGTAAAACGGCATCTACCTCGCCTATAATCGCAACGCCCCGCACTCTGTGCAAACAGTAAAACGGCATCTACCTCGCCTATAATCGCAACGCCCCGCACTCTGTGCAAACAGTAAAACGGCATCTACCTCGCCTATAATCGCAACACCCCAGTCTCTGTGCAAACAGTAAAACGGCATCTACCTCGCCTATAATCGCAACGCCCCGCACTCTGTGCAAACAGTAAAACGGCATCTACCTCGCCTATAATCGCAACACCCCACTCTCTGTGCAAACAGTAAAACGGCATCTACCTCGCCTATAATCGCAACACCCCACTCTCTGTGCAAACAGTAAAACGGCATCTACCTCGCCTATAATCGCAACACCCCACTCTCTGTGCAAACAGTAAAACGGCATCTACCTCGCCTATAATCGCAACCTAAGATGGCAAGTACGTACGGTACAGGGCTTTAAGTACGTACGGTACAGCTACTTTTAAAGGTACGTACCGTACAGGCACTGTAAGGTACAATTTTTTTTCAAAATTTCAGAATCAACTTCAGTGAATTACTTGCAATTTTTGATTAGTATTATCATCATAATTTTTGTACCGGATCGCTCTTAACCGGTACTACACTACTAGTACTACTACTTGTAATTATCGTTAAACTCAAAGCTTCATCCTTTTGTTGCAGTTTACGAACACCAGCTTTTCAGCTAGCTCAGGTCGCAAACTTAATCTACGCTTGTCCATAATATACTCGTAATCTCTAGAATTGGTCTCACAAATTGACGAAGAACTTAAAACACTGAATACTATTTGGGCCAACTGTTTAAGCAGAAAAAGTTTTCCTCCAAAATATTTCCAGTATATTGACGGATTAATAAGCTTTGTACCTTTCAGCCTACTTTATTAAGTACGTACCGTACAACTAATTTAAAGGTACGTACCGTACGTACTTGCCATCTTAGATCGCAACACTCTCTGTGCAAACAGTAAAACGGCATCTACCTCGCCTATAATCGAAACACCCCACTCTCTGTGCAAACATTAAAACGGCATCTACCTCGCCTATAATCGCAACACCCCACTCTCTGTGCAATTAAATAT